CAAATCAATGTATTTTGATATTCAATCTAACAATAAAATAGGCGATTTTTTATTTTACAATTTTCCATCAATTAAAACAACCTCTAAATAATTAATACATATTTAGTGAAAATACCTATAAAAGATGAGTAAAGTTAAATGCTGTCTTAATCTTAGATTTATAGTCTATTCAATAAAATTAGTTGTTTTAACAAAAACTTAATGTTAGCTTTTTAATAAAACGCTATCTTAATATCTTAACTTTTAATAAAGCTCTAGCTCAACCTCGAAAACAACCTTAGGCGTCACAGCTAGGGGTGAGCAAATCGCGGATATAATCAAAAATCCAAATCGAATCGAGTAATTTTGGTTTGGTTTGAATCAATAGATTAGTTTTGGTTTGGATTGGTTAGTTATAAATATTAATTTGATTTTTCGGTTATGGTGCGATTAGTCTGAAAAATCTTGGTTAATGCAAATTAACTAGATTAGTACTCAAGATACTTTTTATCTAAGATTTTTTTTTTTTTTTTTGCGTGAAAACATTGCGTGTTTTGCCCCATATTAAAATAAAACCAAGAGTGCAAACTATATTTGTTTAGCTTTTGTGACAAGTGACAACAATATGGTATAACTTTTAAGATTACTGACGAAGAAGGTCATGAATAAAACCAAGAGTGCAAACTATATTTGTTTAGCTTTTGTGACAAGTGACAACAATATGGTATAACTTTTAAGATTACTGACGAAGAAGGTCATGTTTAATTGTTTACTAATTGATATTTTGTAACTGAAAGTTTAATGAATGCTTCTTTTAATGTTAATCATATTAATTGTTATTTGGATAATTGGATTTTGATATAAATGCCTTTATAATTTTTATTTAGACACTTGTGACTTGTTGGATTAATTAATTAATTTTATTTTTTATTTTTTTTTATTCTATACAGTTGTCTATAAATTTATAAGCATTTGTATATAGTTGTTTTAAGAGTCCAAACTGTAGATCCAGAGACACGAACATATATATTGAAAAATTTTGGATAATATTTTCTTGTAATCGGTTTAGATTAACCAATTGAAAATACTAATATGGTTATTCTGGCAATTGCAATTTTTTATAATAAAACCGCATATTATTGGATTCGATTACTTTCGGTTTTATATTAAATATGGTTTGGATTGGATAATGAATTTATGAAATTCGGCTATATTCAGATTGAGTTATTAGGTTTGGATTGATTCGGATTAACCGAATGCTCACCCCTAGTCCTAGCCACTTACAGCTGAGACCCATACCTCACGAGTAGCTTTTGTAGATGAGTTTAGTGACATGAGTTTTCGAGGTTGTGTTTAGAAAATCAAAATTACTAATTGTTTGCAGTTAGCAAAAATTGGCTTAACCTTCAATTTCACTTCGAACTTTTCGAGTAATTGTAATTTCACTTTAAATCGATTTTTGTATTCTGAGCATCTGAACTTATCAATCTAGTTACAATTACACCCTAATTTGAATTAATACCCAACTCATTATTTTTACATCTTAAAATTGGTTCAATTTTAAAATCAAATATTCCAATCTTGATTTTTTTTTCTTTATCATATGAATACTTGGGTTTGATTTTATTATTTATTGTTTAAATAATTGGGTGTGAAGTCTATTTTTTATACTATTTTAATCCAAATTCCGACCTTAGTTTACTTTTAGGGGTGATTTTATTATTTATTGTTTAAATAATTGGGTGTGAAGTCTATTTTTTATACTATTTTAATCCAAATTCCGACCTTAGTTTACTTTTAGGGGTGTAATAAACAAACTGACAATTCAGAGTATTGTAAATCACTTTTAGGATGTAGTTGTATCTTAAAAGCAAATTAGGGTGTAATTGCAACTAGGTCGATAAGTTTCAGGATACCCAGGGCACGAAGGTCTATTTAGAGTGAAATTACAATTACTCGAAAAGTTCAGGGTGAAATTGAAGATTAGGCTGCAAAAATTTAAGGGAGGGTCAAATCTCCTCTTTCTTACATCCAATTGATTAATTATTATTTTATTAATTTTAGCTGAATTAATTTTATTGTTTTTTTTTGGGACAATTATTTTTTTAGGAAAAATTAATTGTATTGTTAATTAAGCAGTAATATACATATTATGATTAAACTTAAGAAACACTTAATATCTTCGGTGTATCTAATCACAATGTGGTCTTAAGGCCCATTTGGTTTAGTTATTTATACTGATACATAGCTAATACAATAATCATAAAACATATTAATTTGAAAATTTTATTAATAATTATTTTTTTGAGGTTAATGGAATCCAAATAATATTTAAATGAGCTAGTAGCTCATATGAAAAAGTTTTAAAACGTAACTTATGGAATCAGGAGTTGTTTGGAACTTTCATCAACTACCAAATACTTATAAGCTAGCTATTGAATATGAATCAATATATACAATGGGAAAAAAATTAATGAAACTAAAATTAAAAATATAATATTATTTTTGCCTAGAGTTGATATTGACAAAAGATATAAATTTTCATAGCAGAAATTAGTCTGTTAATTGATTTGGACGATAAAATAATAACTCATCTACAATACCTTAATTGTTTTTCTAAGAATTCGCAACATATGACGAATACAGATGAATTTCTGCCGCTATACGTCAACAACATCAATGGAGAAATATGTCACATTACCACACTCCATTGATTGAAGATCCGCACTTGCAAATCAAGATCTAAAGTCTCCAATCAAATAAAGTCAAATATCATATTTTTTACTTAGTAATAAACCCTCACAAAGAAGGGACAAAACGACTCCAATTATGGAGACAAAATAACAATAATAAAAACAAAAAAAAGATTTATTATAGGAAAAACAAATCTGAGTTTATTAAAGTGAATAAAATATTAAAAGCAAAAAGAAAGTGAAGCGAAAGAAAAAGTAGAAAGTAGAGGCTATGCAGCTGATAAAAAGCGGCAACCCCAAACTAAAACTAGGGTTCGAAACCAGAGAGAGAGAAGAGGGACTAGGGTTTTTGCACTATCAAATCTATAAATCTTAAAATTAGTAATTGGTGTCAAATATCTTGAATTGAGTATAAACTCAAAAAAGGAATAAAAAAAAAATACATTTCCACTAATTAAGTATAAACTTTCAATATTTTTTGTTCAATTTATATATGTGTTTCTCCCTCCGGCTGAGATGATAATTAGATAAAACTCTTTTAACAGTGGCAATTCCACTTTCGAGTTTTTTCAGTCAAATTTGAATTCAGTGTGCATGACACACATATTGGCTCAACTCAATTTAATTACAACCTCCAAAAATTTTACCTAGCAATAAAAGTAACAGCTTTACCAATATGTATTCACAATACATCTGATTATAGACTTTGGATTGTATAATTACGTGCACTTAATTTAGCCTTTGATTGACTAACACACGCAATTCCTAGATCAATATATTCATTTTGCAGATTTCGTGGGATCTTCTTAATTTGTACCCAAAAAAAATACTGATTGCGGAAATCTCGAATCATGCATGCCACTCACACACAAATTCCATTTAGTAAAATTGTTTATCCCAAATATAAATAATACATGAGCAAGGCGCACATTCTATATATTTTATATACATTCACATGGCTTGGTCTATAAATACCACCTTTAGCTTTATCACATATCATCCCATACAACAACTATATTTGTCTTCTGCAAATATTTGTCATTTCCAAACACCAAATGCATTTGATTCAAAACAAGTGTTCAATTGTCAAAATTTTGCTTACTTTGTCGTCTTCAGAGGGCAGCTCTTTGGACCCCACATGACAAATCCTGTTGCTTTCTCCTTTTGCCCCTTATTCAAAATTTTGCATTATTTGTCCACTTTTTTTTTTTTTTTTTCTTTTCACAACTACAATATTATTTTTATTTAACTATCCAAAATTCATTTACCCGATTAATTTAAGAAATTTGATTAGCATAAATAAGAATAAGCTAGGAAAAAGAACAAATAACTTCCTTTCGAAAGTTTAAAAAAATTATATATCCAACGCTCGAATTCAATATCTCAGATCTAAAAAAAAAAAGAACTTTATTATTTCATTTCATCTTTCGAGATATAATAATAAAATATAATATAATAAACCTTCGAGGAAGTTTAAAAAAATTATATAGTCCAAACCGCCTCGAGTCGAATGTCATAAGTCTCAGAATACTAAAAAAAAAAAGACTTTATTATTGTTTCATTCAATCTTTTCTGGAGAGTATAATAATAAAATATAATATATAAAAATATATTTTAATGATTATATTTAAAAGGTGTTTTAAAATTAAATATTTTTTATAAGTCGCAACTATCTGTTTAAAGTAATTTTATTTATAAATTTTTCACCAACGCAAAAATAAATAGATGCGGCATTCTTATCGGCAAATCGATTAAACATCGTAATGCCTTAAATGTGTCTTTGAAAGTGATATAGGAAGTGCCTCCTGATGCCTATTCCATAACGTTATATACATTTTTTTTATTGCGAAAATTATAGTAGATATTTTTTTCCAAATAAGGTGTGTATGTATAAATGCCTGAACAGCTTGCATTATTGAAACTTTTTCAGGCAAAAAAAAAACATAAAAAATCTCTACATTATATTGACGCTCTTATATTCCCAGCTCTGTCAGTTTTTATATTTTGTAGTGAACAAAAAAAAAAAAAAAAAAATCTACATTATTGACGCTCTTATATCCCAGCTCTGGTCATTTTATTTTTTGTGACAAGCAATAGTTTCATGGTTTTTCTTTTAAAAAAGCAATATAAAATATTAAATAATCTTGCATTTATAAATAATAGTTTTAATTGACATTTAAAAAATAATTGTATTTAGTATAAATATTATCACCTAAATTAATGATCAAAATCTCACTATTCTTGAAATGTGATCCTAATTCAATTATACAATTAAAGATTTTCTTAAAAATACTATTTTTTATTTGATTCATGAAATTGACAATTGACATGGCTGCTTTGATTCATGAAGATGAAGTTGTTACCGCAATCTCTCCGGAAAAGATGTTTAAGGTCTTCGTTCTCGAGGATTCTGTAATTATCCCTAAAATTATTCCTGTCATTAAGAGTATTGAGATTATTGAAGGAAACGGAGGTCCTGGAACTATTAAGAAGACTACCGAAGACTAACTTGTAGAAGGTGATTGATTTAAACATTTTAATTATTGTTGTTATAAATTAATTATTTATTCTAGTCAATAACTTTTATTTACTAATATGTTTCTTTCTTGTACAACAAGCAGGTAGTGAAGGTTAAGTATGTGAAAATAGAAATTGATGCAATAGATAAGAATATATTTTCATATATAACTATAATACTAACATTTGAAGGCGCACTAATGGAGCAAATACAATAGAAAAAGTCTCTTAATGAAATAAACTAGTATCTGTCTTCCAAACGGAGGATCCAATCGTCAAGAGCAAATAGGGCAAATACTATGCAAAAAGGCGACGTCTAAGCAAGAGCATAGGCAAATACTATGCAAAAGGCGACGCTAAGATTGATGAAGAAGTAATCAAGGCTGGGGAACAACAAATATTAGCAATGTTCAAAGTTATTGAAACGTACCTCTTGGCAAATCCTAATGCCTATTAATTTAATTATGTTCCCATTTTAATGGGCTCAATTAATAAAACCTATCGTGTGATATTTTTATTTCTTTTTGTTCTCTTTGGACCAAAACTACATATAGTTTTTTGGTCTGTCTCAAAATAACAGTTGAAAATTCTGTTGAATGTGGGCAGGAATGCACCATGTCGTCGAAATGTGGGTGTAATTGGCATGAATTTGTAATAAATATATATGAATGATTGGTTTTCCTTTCTGATATTATAGATGTTATACCTTCTTTAACTATTTCTTCTTCGTTAACATTGAAAATTTTAATAAATGAGAAAAAGAAAATTTTAAAAAGTTTGGCTAGATTAATAAAGAAACTTCAATTCCGTGAAAATTTTAGTCAACTTGATAATAAGAAGTTACGTAGGCAATCTCGTAAATTCAGTTCAATCACATTAAAAAAATAGTAATAACAATAATGGCAAGGAAAATTCACAAGTGTACAAAATCGCATCAAGTAATAAATACAATAATTATATAACAAGTACCAAAATTATGTTAAACTACTGTTATCTAAGTGATAATAGGAAAAATAATTGTAAAAAAGAAATAAAATAAGGCAATGAATAAGAAATTAAGCAAGTAATCATTGAAAAGAAAATCAAGAATTAAAGACTATAAGAGATTTTTGCTTCACTTAATTTTACCCAATTTATTTTATTAGTTTGATAATTAATTTTAATTGTTCAAGAAGGAGAAACAACATTGAAATCATTAACAAGCTCTCCCGATGTATTGTTAGCTATTTTAACCCCGTCTAATTATCTATCTTCCAATTGCGCAATCAAACATGAATTAAATCATTAAGTTTTATGGTTTGTATATGAATTCATAATCTAAGGTCATTAACTTATTAAAACCCCCTCATGAGTCAAACTATATAGCTTCCATATCAAGTTATTTTTTCCATATAATTTATTACCTTTTCATATCAAACAAATTGCGCAAGATGTCAGACAGGTGAATTAAAATCATATAAGGTTTTATTGTGTTTGTATTAGAGTGAATTTTCATGGTTATATCTAGGTCATGACTATTATTAAATACTCTCCCGTCTCATTAGTGAATTCATAATCTAAGGTCATTAACTTATTAAAACCCCCTCATGAGTCAAACTATATAGCTTCCATATCAAGTTATTTTTTCCATATAATTTATTACCTTTTCATATCAAAAACCATTCTCTTGATAGTGATTAATGAATAAATCAATCCAGAGCAGAAACTCTATCTAGAAGCATGAAGTTTAACAAATGGAAAAATAATAATTGGATCCCTAAGTTTTAGCCTAATTAACACTTGAGGACCTCAATTTTTAAAAACCAATTTTGAGATCCCTAAATTTTAATTCCGTCAACATATACATCCTTCTGTCTAAAATCAACACTTTTTGTCGTTAGTCTTTGTAATTAAAGTGAGTCCAATGAGAGAGAAATAAAAATCAAACCCAATTAACAACCCAAGAAAATTCATTCAATACGCTAATCAACTAATAACCCCCGTAACAATATCCCAGAATCCCAAACAAAAGAAAGGGCCAATGTTAAACATGTTAAACAACTAATATTGTCCAAATCTAATAACCCACAAAAAGAATGTCAATTCATGGAAATTTGAGTTAATTAAACAAACCCCTAAACATCAAATTCTCAATCAAATCCTAAACCAACCAAGGCTTTGAATTCAAAAAAACTATAACTAAAGAACAAATCTTTAGTTAAACCAACTGCCAAAAATCCAATGACACAAAACTTAACCACCATCAAATCGCACAGAATCACAAAAACAAACAACCTACAAAACCAAAATCCTAAGAAAAACAAAAACCTTACCAAGAAACAAGGAAAAGATAAAAACTTGATACTTTTTGCAGCTAGACATTAGTAGCTTTATGGATGAGAGGAATAGAGCTTCCCTATGTTTTGGGTTTGTTTGAGTTTAACCTCCTTTTTATGGGTGTTTTGCATCCGAAGCATTCTTTCTATCACAAGCTCATACTCACATTTCTTGTACGAGTGACGTTCATTTTTGCATTTCCATGGGAGATAAAACTCAGCTCGATAAAAATTTGGCTCGACGACACTTGTTGAGTGGGATCATAAAGTGTGCGCATTGATTTCTGTGCGAGATAGGGGCCTTTGTCTTCACCATCTATCTTTGCTTGTGTTGCTATCACTGGGTGTTTGATGATCCTTGGACTTCCATAATTGATTGCCTCCGAAAATCCTTTTTAGTTTCAAAGAAAATTTCGCAGCATTGGCTTCAATCTCTAATCTCGCTACACACTAATTGATCATGGTTTTTGGGTTATTGGTTGCTATTGGGCATTACTGTAAATAATTAATCTTTTAGGTTTATGGCTTTCGGCATTTTCGTACTTCCACGTTCATTTGACGGAAAAAAAATGTTGATTTTAGATAGAAGGATGTATCTGTTGACAAAATTAAAATTTAGGTATCTCAAAATTGGTTTTTGGAAACTAAGATCCTCAAGTGTTAATTAAGCCAAAATTTAGGGATCCAGTTATTATTTTCTCAAAATAAATTATACCTTGAACAAGGAAAAATAAATCTAATATTATAAAGAGTAAAATACTTTCGGGTCCCTAAATTATAATCTAATTAACACTTACGTCATTTTACATTGAGCTAATAACTATAAAATTCCTAAGTTATTATTCCATCAGATAAATGGGTCCTTCTGTCTGCTTTCATTCATTTGCCACAGTTACCTTTACATGCTAAGACAAAAATGACCTTGATTAAAGAAGAAGGGGGTAAAGACCACCTGAGTTGAAATCTTAGCGGTAGAGGAAGAGTAAACAACAACATTTGCTCTTCGACAAGTGAAACGGAGCTCGCTTCGATGTGGTTAAGAAATCTACATTGAGGAGCTAGAGATTGGATTTGGTCGGCACGGTACAAGTACCTACAATATCATCTCCTTTATAGTTCTTGCTCAAGCTGGAGGCTGAAGCTCAAGATCAATGTCATCTTCTTCATGAAGAAGAGAAAGCTCGTTATGCGTGTATGTATTTGAGTGTGCTTGTAAAGGATGGATTTGTTGATGGGACCGAGAAAGATAGAGAGAGAACAAAAGGATGGGTCTTTTTAAAGATAGGTTGAAGATGGGTAGAATAAGGAGATTGAAGTCATTCCATTTGATGTTGTGGGCGACAATGAGACTATTGTGCTTAATGGTCCAAATCATGAATTGATAGAGATAGCCTCTGAAATTAATGAATCAAATGATGAGGTGGAGTCTGAATAAGAATCAAGTGAAGATATTATTGGTGATGAAGATCAAAGTGAAGATAGTTTTGATGAATGATGAAGAGAAATTTGAATATGTAGAAATTTGCTTATTAATGGTCCTCTTTATGTCATGTATGATCATAACTGTGTAGCTAAATATGTAACAGGAATTAGATGAAGGATCAAATTGTTTCGCTTGTTTCACTTGTTTCCTTTGACTTGTAGGTAACAAGTAAGAATATTCTTTTAAAGAACTCTATTATATATATATCTATTTTGGTTCTACAAATTGAAGGATTTTTAGGAACACAAAACTATTGATTGCTTCTTACTTATTTTAGTTTGAAGCCATATAACTTTGCCACCATGATCACTCAATCTTTCATAGAGAAATTGGTTCTAGCTAGTTATGAATGGAAGTTTGTGCCTATAGAAACGAAGGACATATACTGGCAAGAGTTTAAGGCATTGTACTATATTTTTTCTTCCCCTTAGACTATATTTTTCTCAACATATTATATGACTTGTACCTCAATGATAAACTACATATATAATCTGATGTTTTTTTAGTAGACATATTATCCCATGACTGTTTTTATTTTGGTTACTTTGCTTTAGCTTATAAAATATTAATGACTAGCTTGATAAATGTGTCCATTTTATGTGTGTATTTTTTTTTTATGTTTTATGGCTTTAGAAATATTTAATGGGGGATGAGGAGATTGATGCATCCGTACAAAAAAACTGGAGTAAGAAGGTCGCAGAACGCTATAGGGGCATGCTTCGTAAATGGCGAAAGAAAAAACCTAAATATATCCCTAATGATATTTGGAATAGTGATAGCCTCGCAAAGCGGGCAAATCTTGTTATGTTATTTTAATATAAATTGCATGAATGCATGATTTTTTTTATATATTTTACGTTTATTCGTGTTGTTTTGTTTCAAAGTAATTTTCAGGAACACAGTTGGAGCAAAGATTTGTTCTATACAAAAATAGGGCCAAAGCAAGTTGAAAAAATGGAAGAAATCCTTGATCCAGCCCTCGCGCAGCGAAGCAAGTCGCAACAAAGAAAAACGCCCAAGTCGCGAGCGCTATCAGAGGTTGCGCGCGCAACCTACACCCAGAAAAGGCAAGTCGCGAGCGCGACATTCACATACGTGGGCGCGAAAAGCAGGCCTGAGAGTCAGAAGCATTTGGAGCAGAAGTCGCGAGCGCACCTTCCATCTGCACGGGCGTGAGAAAGCACTTTTGAGAGGCAGAAGGTTTGCTAGCGAAGTTCGCGAGCGCGACTTCCATATGCGCGAGCGCGAAAATTAATGACTAGCTTGATAATATGTGTCCATTTTAATGTGTGTATTTTTTTTTATGTTATGGGCTTTAGAAAATTTTAGGGGGATGAAGGAGATTGAAATGCAATCCGTACAAAAAAACTGGAGTAGAAGAAGGGTCGCAGGAACGCTATAATGGGGCATGCTTCGTAAATGGCGAAAGAAAAAAACCTAAATATATCCTAGATGAATGTTGGAATAGTGATAGCCTTTCCCTCTCCCCTCCGCAAAGCGGGCAAATCTTGTTATGTTATTTTAATATAATATTGCATGAATGCATGATTTTTTTTTAATATATTTTTACGTTTATTCGTGTGGTTTCAAAGTAATTTTCAGGAACACAGTTGGGACAAAGATTTGTCTATACAAAAATAGGGCCAAAGCAAGTTTGAAAAAAATGGAAGAAATCCTTGATCCAGCCCTCGCGCAGCGAAGCAAGTCCGCATACAAAGAAAAAACGCTCAATCGCTGAGGCGCTATCAGAGGTTCCCCGCGCAACCTACAACGCCAAAAAGGGCAAGTCGCGAGCGCGACATTCACATACGTGGGCGCGAAAAGCAG